ATTTAATACAAAGAAAAGTAATTAAAATACCCCAAAGTTTGAAGGAGCGCGAGATAAGCACCCCAAACTTGCATATGTAACTTAAATACCTCAAACTTTATATAAAAAGTTATTTTAACATCATGGTCATGTATTTTTCCTAGGGGTGGGCAAAAATACCGAACCGGCATGGTACCGAACCGGACCAGTATGGTACCGGACCGATAAACGGGGTTTGAAACGGATCTCATTTTTTTTGTCCCGAACCGAACCGTACCGGTTCCAAACAATGCCATGACGGGTTCTCATAAAATGAGAACCGGTACCGGACCGAAACGTACCGAAGTATGGTTTAATACTTTAATTATTTAAATTTCTATTACTATAGTTTTGATGGATAGTCTACCCGGGGGGTATCTTATCCGAGGGGTTATTGCGGGAATAAATAGAGAGAAGTCAGAGCAAAATAGGAGGAGAGAGAGTCGATTTATTAAATGAACTCAGCGTGTGAGAGTTGAGATGTGGATCGTTTACAAGGAGAAATAGGCTGCTATTTATAGCAGCAATAAATGCGATGAGAGTACACGTGTCAGTAATTCAACGGCCGAGGGGTCACATCAGCCGGGTGGCACCGGCAGTGGTACGTTCACCGCATTGAATGCGGTTGGCGGATGTGATGTGGCATTAAATGCGGTGGTTGACTGTCTCCAAAAGGAATCTTCGATGATTGAGCATGCTTGGCCGAAGGCTCCTCGTGTAGCCGATGGCTCTATTTGACCAAGGACCCCTGTGTAGCCGAAGGCCTTGTGTGACCGAAGGCTTGGTTCAGCCGAAGGCTTCTCTGATGCCGAGGGCTTGATAATGCCGAAGGCTCCTGTTTTTCGCCGTTTTCTCCCAGCAGCTTCTTATGCCAGAGAAGGCCATCCTGTGAGTTTTGGAGCCTTCGGCCAAGGAGGCCGAAGGCACCCCAGTGTGCATTCTGGGCTACTTTGAGGCTTAGGCCGTTGCATTTGGGCCTGAATTGTTCTCTGGGCTCAATGGACTTGTGTAGGAGAAGTAGGAGTCTATGAGCCGGGGGTTCCTGGGCCATATACTCCATCAAGTTTATCTCAAATTTATTAATTACCTCATACGTCCCAAATTGATTTGCAAAGTCAACATTTTTTTGTCAATGTTAATGTTAAGTCCTACCTAATGATAACTAATACAATTATTGATAATTAAAATTTTTCATATTAAGATACCACATTAAAATCTCTTTAAAGTTGCAGAATCCAAATTAGAATATACGAAGTACTTTATTTGAAAGGCCAAATTAGAATATAATTAAAAACTGAAATCCTAATTAAGTGAATAAAAATGAACTATTTGACCAAAAAGGTTGACTTTGCAAATCAATTTGGAACGGAGATAGTATGAAATACGAAAAATGATAAATTGTGTAGATTTTTTGAGGTTGCTAAACTTTAATTTTTCCTTAAACACTTGGGGAAAATGGCATTGTTTGACATTGGTATGGCATGGTACCGCCCCGTTTGAAAATGGACTATACCGAACGGGTTTAGGTCTAAGACAGAACCGAACCGTTTCAATAGTAATGATACGGGTACGGGTTCAGCAAAATATTGGACCGTACCGTACCGGACCGTGCCCACCCCTAATTTTTCCTTAAAAAATGTTAATTTCATAATTTAAAATATTTTAGCTAGCATTCATGAAGATACAATTAGCATTCTAAACTTCTATTGTAAAATAAATAGTATTACCCCCACCCATGACCCACCCCACCCTATATAATTGCAACATTTTCGGTTTGCTATTTTAAATTATGCAATCAACACCCTAAATTTGCATTTTAAAAATAAATAATACATGACCATGATGTTAAATTAACTTTTTATAAAAAGTTTGAGGTATATAAATTACATACGAAAGTTTGAGGTGTTTATCTCACTCGTTTTCAAAGTTTAGGGTATTTTAATTATTTTTCTCTTTAATATAATATGCCAGTTTACAGTCAAAAAAGGGGAAGAAAAATATTTTGAATTGGAAAAAATAAAAATGTAAAATAAAAGTAAAAGAAATCAGGGGTGATAGGAAAAAAATTAAAACTGATACAATCTCAAAGAGCCAAAGAGCTAAAGAGGCATAAGTATGCTTCTACCGTCACGGCCACTCCTGCTATTAGTTCAAGTTCGAGACAATAAGGGCCTGTTTACTAACAGAAATATTTTCTGTTTTTTCAAAAAAATGGAAAACTGGAAATAGAAAAATTAGAAAACTTGTTTACCCAACTGTTTTCAAAATGAAATAAGGGAAACATGTCTCGCCTTTTTACTCGTACAACGGAGAACTGACTTTGAGGTGTTTTCGCATTTTAGAAAACTCGGTGCTACAGTGAACTGTATTTACTCGCTCTTCTTCCTCTGTGTACCGGCCTTTACTCGCTCGTCTTCCTCCGTCTACCAGCCTTTACTCACTCGCATTGACTTAGCTTCAGCGCCCTACCTTTCTCCCCCTACGCTCTTTACTTCTTCTCCAAACAGCTGCACCGCTTCCGTAGCTATTAAAGTCGAAGGAAAGCTTCGTCAAACCACACGCTACACCTCCTACCTGCGTTGAAGTGACGACCCGGAAAGCATCGCTGCTAGGAGCCCCGGACATCACGGAATCTCCCAAATCTTCAGTCGGGTCGTGTTTTGTCAACAACTTAATGGTAAGGTCTCAAATTAAATGGAATTTTCACTTTACCTTGTTAAAATTTCGAATCTGTTTGGATTCCTGAAATTCGTGAATTTTCACTATGCCTATTCTAATTTTGAATTTCGTTCTTAGGGTTTTTCATTGTTTATCAATGGCTACCTTAGTCTGTACTTATTTCCTTAGGAAACCAATGGGTGTTGGAATATTTTTGCTAATAGGATATGTATATAAAATCTCATTGTCAAGCAATGAACCAGTATATAAAATTGATGTATGAAAAGAACCAACAAATTTGTGTTTCTTTAAAATTGCACTTGCATTTTCCCTTGGTTTCTTGAAGTAAATTAAGCTTCAAAATCTCTCTTTTGCCTTATTAGTCTAGGAATTAGACTGTCATGAACGCTGTGAGGTTTTATTACTCTAGTAGCCTGTTATAAAAACTAAAACAGTAGAAAAGCTGCCTGGTGAGAGATGCATCACCTGGAGTTGTATTTTAAGATTTCATATCCACTTGGTCTTAATGTATATTTCTTTCTTTTTTCTTCCTAGAAATGCTTGGGGTAGTTTTAGTATGTTGTCCTCCACTTCCCTAGTGATCTGATATCAAACCAGTCACAAACTATTACCATCACGAAAAAACAGAGATGATCCATATGGAAGAGACAAGTACAACCATGTGAAGTGTTGCAGGAATAGTATCTTTTACAAACTTCAACTGCTGCACTTTGTTCATCCAAGCTACTAGGAATATTATCCATATTCAGCCACCGGTGAGCCTCCTTTAGTGTCTTGGGGGTCTGTTTGTAGGGGAAAGTTTGGAGGTTTAGTTAACATCCTGATAAGGATAATAGAACATTTCTAAAACTGGTGAAAGTATTATGTTGATTGACACCCACTTTGTTAATATTTTGTAACTATTCAAGTGAATGTCCAATTTTTTGTGGTAGATGAGTTTAACTCAAGAAGAAAAGGATGATGCCATTTGACCCGAATGCCTGATGAAAGAGTGACTTTATTAACACGGCAGCAACTACGAGGAAGAAGATATGATATGTCTCAACAACAAATGCACGAAGTTCGAGAAAGTATTGCAAATGCAATATGAGATGATTACAATGTATAAGATGTCGAAGTAGGACTGTTGTTTGATTAAAATAATCTCAGTATTTGAACTTTCAGTGCTTGGGAACATTTATGTTAAATTTTTGTGTTATTTCAAATGTTTGTAATTGTGCATTTCTTTTCCAAATATTAAATCAACATTTTTTTGGAAAAAAAAGAAATGGAAAATTGAAAAACTCTGGTAAACATGTTTTCTGATTTGGAAAACAAAAAACTGGAAAATGAAAACAGAAAACTGGAGACTTGAAAACAGAAAATGAAAACGGAAAATTATCTCTGTTAGTAAACAGGCCCTAATATTGTACATGGTATAAAAGCAAAAAACAAATCTCATTTTTCCCTCCTTCTCCCTCTCTCGGTTCTCTCTTCCTTCTCTCTTGTTCCTCTCTCCCTTCTCTCTTTCCTCTTTACCCAATCTCTTCTAAGTTGGGCCCCACAACTTAGCTTGGGCCCCACAACTGAATCCCTGCGGCTGCTCCATTATATTCCAAGGGGAGAAGTTCGGCACTTTCAAATAAAATGGCCACATGGTATTGCTAGAACAAATGAGAAAATTAAGGTGAGCTTGACACCTAGGATTCATTAAGGGTAAAATTGTATTTTTATGAGCTATTCCTTTTCTTATAGATAAATAGAAGACTTGATTGATTAATCCTATTAATCCAGTGAAATAAGTACCAAAAGTGTGCGCCAATCCTATTATTAAGAGAAATGAGTTTATACGGTTGATATTAAATTGATAAAATAAGAATAAAATAAAAGTGATTTAAAGTCAGATAAATTTTACTCCCTCCGTAACTTAAAAATCTTCCCACTTTCCTTTTTCGTCCGTAACACAAAAATCTTCTCATTTCTAAATCTTCCCATCATACCCTCAATAATTCTTAAAATAATACACTATTACAACTACTTTTTTTGGATTTATCCTACATTCCACCACATTATTCCACTATTTTCCCATCATACCCTCAATAATTCATATCATCTTTCACTATTCTTAATCTACCTACTTTTGAAATGGGAAGATTTTAAAGATACGGAGGGAGTATCAAATTTAGATAATGTTAATTCATTTGAGAAAAGGAAAATAAAAAATGAGAAGGAAGGACTGAAGGAGTACTAATTGTGGCTAGACCTGCAAAATACAATCAGGAGGACTGGACATCCATATTTTCGGTTTCATATTTGGTTCCACCTTTCAGTAGCGAACTTCTGATATAAATTCGACTGGGCCGTAGTTATCTGCGAAAACCACAGGTTAACTCTTCATCGCTTCTCGTGCTCTGAATTTTACAAAGTAATGAAATTGTGAAAGTGAATTATCTAGGAAAGAAGTGTTAAAAGCCATCTTTTTGGTTTGTAGAGCATTGAAACTTAGGAGAGTATATTATTGGGCATTGGTTATGTGAAATTAAATCTGCTAAGAAGTTATGCTATAATCAAGAAATTGTATTTTTTTGTTCTATTTTGGTTTATGAGAACCTGAAAGATTGTACTGATACGTCCTAAATGACAGAATGGAAGGGCTTCTGGTGGAAAAGCATGTCAAGTACATCTTATCAGTTGAAAAGGTTTGAGTTGTTTCTGTTATCTACTACTTATCTTGTGATTTTTTCTGGAAACCACAAAAGTAAGAGTTAACTTTAGCAACGCTATTTCCTTTTATTAAAGGTGTGTTTGTCATTACTTAAATTAAGTGCTTTTTGGCTTTTAGATTAAAAAAAGCTAAAAGAGGTGTTTGGTAATCCCAGATTTTGATTAAAAAAAGTGCTTTAAAGTTAAAAGCTGGAAGTTGGGTTAGAGGTGCTTTTAACTGCTTATTGGTTTTTTTGTAAATAGTTTGAACTTTGGGGATGGTTATAATGCTAAATATATTGAAGTGCACCCAGAATACCCTTACTCCCTTCTGCTTCTGTCAGAAGAGAGCACAGATCGGCGAGAGAAATAGCTTCACCGTCGTCATCAAATCCGGCCGGATTTATCGCTCCTTAGTTCATCATCGTCATTGCCGGAATTGTCAAACTCATCCACACCACCATTATCCATCCTTCGTCACTTCCTAAACACTCTGGGCGGAGCCTGGAGATGCCCAACCCACCCAAATCTCCATTCGTATCGCAAATCCATCAAGGTGATAACTCCCAGCTTCGTTCCTGTCATGGCCGGAAAGGCCAAACCCACCACATCGTCATTTTCACCCCATTAGTGCAACTTTGAATTAATACTTCGTACGGCATATGTTAAATGAGTATAAGGGTGTTTTTGTCTTTCACTAAATTAATACATCAAAAATCACTTTTTTATCAAACACTCCAACTTTAACTTTTCCACTTTAATCACTTCTATTCCCAAACACTATCAACTTTTACTACAAATCACTTTTGCAATAATCTCTTAAAAAAATCACTTTTAAAAAGTACAAGCAATCGCAAACACTCCCTAATTCACACACTGTAGAAATGGTTTCACTTTATCATTCTAAAGATTAAATTTCCCAATACGGAGTATGAAATAGTGAAACTTGAATGAGATTATGGCAATGCAAAGCGGGTCTTTACGTGAGTCTGTTTGTCTTACCTTCAGAGTAAAGATGACATTGAGTCTGTGGTGATGGAGCATCTTAGATTAAATGGAGCATACTGGGGATTAACGACTCTTGATATTCTAGGGATGATTAGTGTAGTGGATCAAGGCGAGGTCATATCTTGGGTTATGCAGTGTCAACACGAATCTGGTTTGTGTTATAGTACTAAGTTATTCTCTGTAGTTTTTGCACTCTATCTTTTTCTCCCTGCTAGTATAATATCTTTTTTATCTGATTATCTCCCTTTTGGAGAAGGTTCTAGTTGAGTTGGACATCATTGCAAATAGTTTGTGTATTTAACCTGGAGTCATGGATTGAGTTGTAAAAGCTACCATTGTGCTACAATTGTGATTAACTTGTTCCATAATGTCATCTCTTTACCCTTTCTAGGTTCCACTTCTGGATGCTAAATAGAGTAGAGAGGCTCCAGAAAGTTTAAAAAAGAAATAAAAAAGACAGTAAAAGAGTTGAAGATAAACCGTCAATGATCCCTGAATGCACTCTCCAGCAAGATATTCTTTCCCCAACAAAGCTGCTAAATACCATCAAATTATTGACTGCCTCTTTTTCTCTAGAAGAGGGTTTATTTATTGCCTACTGCAGCCTATAACTAAGGTTAGAAATGAATTGCATATCAGTCAAGATGCTAGTCAATCAACATTGATTTTACCCTAATCAATGATCCGCTTTTCTTGGTAATTGGTTCCCTAAACTCTAAGCAGAGAATCAGGCTTCTAATTAGTGTCTTTGTTTTACTTTCCTAAATTTTTTTTGCTATCATTGATTCATTGCCACACCAGAAAAGAGCCTGCTCCACAAAGCTGAAGGAAGAGTCCAAGAGATCAACTTGTGTGGTCTTACACTCTTACCCCTTCAATAAATTATTATATCTTGAAGTAGGTTAGCTTTGTATTTCTTTTCTGATCTTGTGCATTTTGAACCCCAAGCAATGTTCCATCTCTATGTTTTTGGGCTATCTTTATTTTAATTGGAACGAGGTGTAATGTGTTTTTATCCCTTTCCCACGAACACTTGATTGTTTTCTCTTTCTTCGTCGCCATTATCCTTCTATGCTATTTTTATCCTTCTCTGAATTACCTATATCAGTTTGATGTGTTTCTCTTTTTCCTTATTTTTTCAAGCTACATGACATTATGTTTGCCATGTGAGGACAGTTGTACAGTTGAATACCCAAGCCCCAGCATTATTGTAGTCAGAAGAGGTTTGGTGCTTTCCCATCACCACCTCTCGTAGCCAGATTGGTTGGCCGAGAAGTGGTGAGATAGGTATCGGTTGCATGATGGTTGGTGGTGACATTTGTAACAAACTGTGGGTTGTCTTGGGGTTGAGAAAATTGTCAGGTTAGTTGTGGTATATTTTGGGTTGCCATAGCAACTCTATTTCAAATCATGTCATGTGACTAAGTGATACTGTTGGCCGTCACACGCCTACCACAGGATTGATTCATGTTAGCCGACCCCAAAATCTTTTGGGAATAAGGCTTGGATGTTGTTGTTTGTTGTTGTATAGCAACTCTATTTTCTTTTGTTGGGCTTGTGGTAGGTTATGGACATGTTAGGTTCCATTTTGAGGTTTTTTGTGCCCATTTGGTGATTAACTGGTAGTTGTTTGTTGGGGTGTTGATACATTTTTGTTGAATTTGTTCCAGAGCTCCCTTTTTAATGTTGCCAGTTGATGAAGGGTTGGCGGTGTTGGCATCCATTGGTCCAATGTAGCACCTGACCTTTTATGTGCCGAAAAGATATAATGAACTATGATCCGCTAATATATTTAAGGAAAACATATCGCTCAGCCTTGGCAAATGGCAATCACCCAATGGAGTCATTCCTATTGATATATGGGACTTCAATCAATGTGGTGGTGAACTACAAATCTTCCCCATGAGTGTGGAGTGCAACCACCAACCTTTCTGTGAATGGTCGTGCACCTCTTTAAGCTTTGTCAAAGCTTCTTTTAGGCGATTAAATGTATGAGACATGTTTTGCTAATGCCTCTAGCCGCTCCTACCTAATATAGATTATCACACCAACGAACAGGGAAGGTGTTGTGAACAGAAAAATAAAATCAACGTGGTAAACCGTTGCCCAGATAATCAATGATAAAAATACCGTTGCCCAGAGCCAAAAGGCTAAAATCAATTTTATTCCAAGATGAACAAGAATGAATCCTAACAAGGGGTTTAAATACCCATCTGCTAATTCTCAAACTAGGAAACAAAATCCTAGAAGTCCTAATCAACTCCAACTAGGAAACAGAATAATAAAGATCCTAATCAACTTCAAATAGGAAACAAATAATAGAAATCCTAATTAACTCCTAATAGGAAACACATATTAGAAATCCTAATTAACTCCAAATAGGAAACAAATCAGGAAAATTAAAAAGAATAAATATTAATTAAGCAGCCCCGCAACCAACCCACGAAGGTGGGCTCAAGCCCGTCCCACCTTTAGTAAACCCATGGGGGCTTCTGCCCCTCTTCTTCCGAGCCCGAGCCCAGATTCTGCTTCATATCAGAAGGGCAGTAAAACAAGTATGCTAATTAGAAGCCTAGCAGGAAATGTAAGTCTACGATTAGAGCCCAGGTAACCTATTAGCAAGAAAGATTGATCTTTGATGAGAGTAAATCAAGGTTTATCTGTTAGCATCTTGATTGATATGTTTCATTTCATTTCATTTTCATTTACCCCAGTGCCGCAAAGGCTCCCACCTATGGTGGGGTAAGGGGGGGTCGGATGTACGCAGTCTTACCCCTGTACTAAAGCACAGAGAGATTATTTCCGGATGACCCATAGTGAAAATCGCGTCCAAAATCGCATGGATTGACTGCTGCTTGATTGATATGAAATATATTTCTTACCTTAACTATTGGAATCATTAGATTATATAGTATATACAAGCTCTCTGTTAGAGAAGCGAGGCATGCTGTAGCTTTAAGATACTTAGCAGCTTTGCCGAGTCAATAACATCTTGCTAGAGAGTGCCTTTGGGGGTTTCGGAGGGGTTTGTTGAACTCTTTTACTGTCTTTTTATTTCTTTCTATTTAATAAAAACTTCATTCTCTGGAGCCTCTTTTGTCTATCAATGCGTTAAGGCTTAAAGGGATTCCTTTTCATTGGATCCAACACTCATTGGATCTAATAAATGTTATGTATGCCATCATATAATGTATACTACTATTAAATCGCCATAATGCCTAGCATCTAGCTGCATTAATCTTGAATTTGCTGTTAAACTTATAAGATGTCGTGTTTACCTATGCAGGTGGGTTTAGCGGCAACATTGGACACGACCCACATATAATGTATACCCTTAGTGCCATCCAAGTTTTAGCATTGTTTGATAAAATTGATGTTCTTGACATCGACAAGATCTCTAATTGTATCCTTCAACATGGATTCTTGAATCTGTAATTGTCTCTAGTTTCATTCAATACATACATACTCGTTCCCCACTTTATCTGTTGGGATATTTTGCAGTTTATACACTACTTCTAGCGTACACTCTTCTATATACTGATCTGACTTTTCTAGAAAAAAACATATCTCATCCAAAGTAAAGTACATATGTTGTAAATTGAATTGATGAGTGATTTGCTGTTGAAGTATAGAGTTGTTGAGCTTGACCAACCTGGCAGATATTGTAGGCCTGCAAAATGAAGATGGGTCCTTTTCGGGTGACATGTGGGGTGAAGTTGATACACGGTAATCATCTCCACTTTCAGACTTTCTTCGAAATGGTTTGTCTTACATTTATATTACCATTAAGACAATAGAATGACCAATACAATTGTTTCTTTAGGTTCTCTTACATAGCAATAAGTTCTCTTGCACTATTGCGACAGTTGGATAAAATCGACATGGAAAAAGCTGTTCAGTACATTTTAAGTTGCAAGAATGTGGATGGTGGGTTTGGATGCACGCCTGGGGCAGAGTCTCATGCTGGGCAGAGTATGTTAGTTTGTATAAAATATTCTAAATGTTTATGATACGAGCCTATATTATTATATCCAGTTTTACTAATAGTTTTAGTAATTTGAGGAATGATCCTGTCAAGCCGTCTTGACAGAAATCGCCGTCCGGCTGCCTCTATTTGAGGTGCTTCCGGGTGGAATTTTTTGATGAAATTCCGTGAGTGTCTTCTTCATGAAGTATAGATAATGCCCACCAATTTGCACCTTAAAATTCAATTGGGAAGGCATTCAAATCATTTTTTGAAGTTGACTTCGTTTTTATATGTATATTTTGACGAAGTCAACTTCAAAAAAAGATTTGAATGCCTTCCCGATCGAATTTTGAGCTGAAATTTGGTATGGACAAACTAGACTTGATGAGGAACATGCTAAAAAAATTCATCAAAAAATTCCACCAGGAAGTGCCCCAAACGTCCATGTTCGGACGGTGCTCGGACGGGGGATGTTCGGACCTGAACATCTCTCTCTCTCTCTCTATATATATATATATATATATAATTTATATATATATATTTCGGCACAGTGTTATTCAATAATTTATTTAACCGACTTCCGATAGAATTTTAAGGTGAAATTTGATAGACATAATCTACACTTCATGAATAATATGTTCACAAGATTTCATCAACAAATTTCACCCGGGAGCACCTCAAATGGAGGCGGACGGATGGCGGTTCCTGTCAGGCCGGCCTGAGTCCTGACAGGATCATTCCTCTTAGTAATTATATTATGATTATTTTTATTGTCATTATTATGATGATTGGTTTCCTATTTAGTATTATTAGTTTTTGTATTGATAATTATATTTTAGTTAGCATTCTTAATATGATACGGAGTATTATCAACACTTTTAATACTCTAGGACTTTGTTTACTTTCTCACCAAGATAATATCATATAATTATAAGACTCTGAGAAGCTCTAGTAGTTCTCAATCTTCATAGCTTCCATTCTTGATCTTCTTCATCTCCTGATCACACCTGTAATATAGAATAATGAAAGATTAAAAGCAGAGAAGTAAACTTTTAATTTGTTATAAATTTTGTATTCTACAATTTCTATGTAATGTTGAGTTGTTTACTATATTGGTGGGTGAAGCCTTCTTCTTATCTTAGAGTCAAGACTGAGTTTTTTAAAGAAGGGTTTCTTTATATTTATATGTTACGTTGTATATAAGATCACATACAAGGAGTCTTTCAATGGGATTTCTATCTAACTGTATTCAAGCTTGTGTCGTTTGTACATGTCTTAAATCTTAATCATAGAATCACCTGATATGTTTGCAATGCCTTTTACCATATGTGTACTGTGAATTGTGATAATTTTAATACTGTTGCAGTTTTCTGCTGTGTGGGAGCTCTTGCAATAACAGGCTCTTTACATCATGTTGACAAAGACCTCCTCGGCTGGTGGTTATGTGAACGACAAGTTAAATCCGGGGGTCTAAATGGGCGTCCAGAGAAGCTTCCTGATGTAGGTTTCTTGTTTTTGCTCTTTAATTGTGAACAAAAGGTGTTCGTTTGATGTTTAAATATGTGTATATGATATTTGCTTGGAATAATTGAACTCCGGGTTTGCTATTCTTGGTGGGTTCTTTCAAGCTTAATTATGATAGACAGGGTTGACTGGATTGACAAGGAGAAACTTGTAAAATTTATTTTGGACTGTCAGGTTAGTTCTCCCACGTCGCTTGGTTTGAATGTGAGAATAAAGAGGGAATAGTTTTTTTATAACTTCAACAGGGGATGGATATAGGAGTAAAGAAGAAATTCAAATTCTGCTAGTTGGTTGAAGGGAATGAAATTTAATGATTAAAGGGAATTCAACCAAACGTGCTATTATGTTCAATCTTATGGTATCTGTAGCCTTATATACTTCACGAATGTGCAGGATAGAGAAAATGGTGGGATTTCAGATAGGCCAGAAGATGCGGTGGATGTCTTCCATACATATTTTGGAGTTGCTGGTAAGTCTTTGCATCACTAATCCTCCCACCACTTCAAAATCTGGGCATCAAACTACATAATGCTACCCAATGCCTCTTGAACCGTTGAAGCGTTTTTTTGTGTGTGTAATAAGAATAAAGAAATGGTTATTCTATTCTTTAAAAACCACAAACTACTTATAAACTGTGATAAAATGGTCAGGTTTAATTTGCTGGTTGGAATAAATCTGAGTAGTAGCCAGGCCTTCTTTAATTGCATTGCAATTTTTACACTGCAGGGCTTTCTCTTTTGGAATATCCTGGACTCAAACCTATAGATCCTGCTTATGCCTTGCCTGTTAATGTTGTAAACCGAATCATCTTTAAGAAGTAACCCTCTGGTCATGACTATTGCTGACAGTTCCATCCCATTTTCACGAAATTTAAGCCATGTATAGACCAAGCGTACATCAAGGTAGGTCAATGTTAAGATTGGCTTGAAGGGATTTGCTCTCATAGTGTTTTAGAATATCTGCATTTTGCTTTCATGTAAAAACTATGGTCTGTTTTAGCCAAAAATATCTGGCAAAAAAGAGTGGGAACTCTAACTTGCGAATGTGTTTTTCTCCTGAAACATGAGTTAATTACTTTTATGAAACAATGGCACGAATATAACTTCTCAGCTTCTGTTGGATAAAAATATCGAAAGTGACCTGGCTTTTAACGTCACCTTCCGCTTTCAACTTACACTTTCATCTTCCTCTTCCACCCAAACTTCCGCACAGGCTCCAGAGCTCCAGGGCTGAATACTTCCGTCGTCATTGCATAAACAATCACCAACACCAACCTCTTCTTCTTCGCTGAAGTCGGTTGCTCCATCATCAAAAAACAATCTAGATCTGACTCCCTGTGCTTCAATCGATTGCTCCTCTTTTGCGGTGGCTAGGTTACAGACTCGTGGTGGCTACGATTTGGGGTAGATGGGTGGTGAGATCGCAATCGCTACAGTAGGGATGAAGCTTTTGCCGCTTTCGCCATTCTTCGTCGCCATAGCCAAATCGATTTGGATCTGATTCTTCTTCATGTTCTTATCTTGCCATTCTTTTCGTTTTTGTGCAGAGATTTGGCTTGGGGTTAGGTCGGGTGGCTGGAAAGTCGAGGAGGGGGCTGGGGTGGTGCAGCAGCAGTGGGGAACTGACAGTGGTGTTGGGTTGTGGCAGTGTTGCAGGGGCTTGGGAGTTGTGGTGCAGGGGCTTGTGAGCGGTGGTGCAGGGGCTGAGGGACCTGTGAGCAGTGGTGTAGGGGCCGAGGGGCCTGTGAGCAGTGGTGCAGGGAGGAAATGGTGTGGCCGGAGGGGCTGATGTGGTAAATGTTGGCGGCAGAGGTCAACAGCGGCAGTAGCCAGGTGTGAGGCGGTTGAGTACGAGTGTGGGGGGTTGGGGAGGCGGCAGTTACGGTGGCATCGTGGTGGCAACCGATTTTGATTGAAATTTACACTTCCGGCGGGTAATATTGACATCGACGGCGGCACAGGCGTCACTGTGACGTCACTGCGGCTGCGTCACTGTGGTGGTGTCACTATGGTTGGATGTGGTGACCGGTGGTGGCCGAGGCAGCGGCAGTGACACGAGCGGTGGCCGCAGTGACACGGGTGGATGTCACTGTAGTGTGTCACTGTAGCAGTGTGTATATAAACAAGCTTGTCACTTATTAGTCACATTTCACGAATTTTTTTAAAAAGTCACTTTTTTGCCTATTGCCCTTTTATTAGTAATATTCAAGACAAAAACCCTACTTTTATTTTGTAATTATATTGCAATATTTATCATTATCAAGCATTAAATATTAATGTCATAATCGTCAATGTTTTCTAATATGACCATATTTACTTATATTTAGGGGAGAAGCAGTACTCTTCGGTTACATTTACTAATTTATTACTACGTTTATTATAATTAGAAAATAAAATAGGATTCGTTTTCGGCTGCTCTCTTCGGTTACATTTACTAATTTATTACTACGTTTATTATAATTAGAAAATAAAATAGGATTCGTTTTCGGCTGCTCCACCTTTGCTCAGTATATGTGTCACCAAAATAATGCGCCAACTTCCAACAAGTTTGAGAATGCAGAGAATTGAAAATTTGAAATACATTCGATTTAATAAATTATGCCTTATAAAAAAAAAAAAAAAAATTATGCCTTGTGTAACTCATTAGAAATCAAAAAATTTGATTTCTGAAAAATTAGTACCATCTAAATTTCAAATGGATACAAGTTGAGTCATAATTACTTATTACTTATACTCCCAAATAATTATGGGTGGACCGGTTCCGGTTCGGGAACGGTTCGGGCCTGGGCCCGGCCGGGCCTCGGTTCAGAAATGGGAGGCCCGGAACCGGCCCGGAACCGGCCCGGGTAATCCCGGGTCCGGGCCGGGCCTCGGTTCTATTTTTTTTTTGTCTTTTCCTAATTAACCCCCAACCCTCCCCCCTCACCCCCAAACCACCTCAAATGGCCCAAAATACCAAGCCCAACCCAAAAACTTAAAAAAAATTCAAAAAAAAAACACATTAATTTGGCCCGAACCGGGCCCGAACCGGCCGGGCCGGTTCGCCAATCAAAGGGCCCGGGCCCGAACCGCACAGTAACCGGGCCGGGCCGACCCGAACCGCCCCCGGACCGGTTCTCGGGCCGGGCCGGTTCAAACAGTAACCGGGCCGGGTCGCCCGGCCCGAGTCCATCCCTACAAATAATACTGGTACTCTTTTAAAGCAACATTTATTCCATTTATTACACGTGAATTATTCAACTCCAGTTCGTATATCGTGGGATCATCCCACGGTGAGCATCACGCTCCCTGTCCAAAACGACGTAGTTTTGATCAATTAAAAAAAATCGCGTGAACAGTACCCGTATGTACAGTAACTTGTTTTTTTCTTTTCATCTTAGTAACATAAATGGTGTAACTCGTGTGTAAAGAAATGTAATTCACGTCATTAATCAATGTAACTCAAGTGCAGTCGAAATGTAACTTGTCAAATACATAGTATAAGAAGTAAAACATTGATTTCAATGTAAATAATGAAAAAAAGACTCTAAAAAATGTTACATTGATCAATAACGTGAATTACATTTCAGGGCCATAAAAATGTTTTTTATAAAAAAAATCAATGAATATTGGGGGCTTATTGTGTTGTGTAACTCACATTATATTACGATGTAACTCGTATTATATAATATGTAAATCATGTGCAAGCAGAATGTAACTTGCTGAGGAAAATTGACATGTAACTCAAGCTAATGGATATGTAACTTGAGATAAATGGAAATGTAACTTGTTATAATAAAAATGTAACTTTTCCTACATAAATAAAAATGAAACAACAAAGAACTACTGACGTTTCAAGAGATCCATGGGAAACCTAAAATCAGCTTTGGCCTAATTAAGTCAAGTTCCCCATTCCCTGTCAGGCCTCTTTCCAGCATACACATTAGGGACGACGTTGCCGGCCAATAAGTTTTCAGGTCTCAGCTTCGGCCTGGAGTTAATTAGGATGCCAGAGATGGCTTTCATCTGATTATGTCCTGCCTCTCACCTTATCATTGATCGATTTAATGGAAAAGTGATTCTCAGGTTGTTTATTGGGGAATGAAAGCTGCAGATGATGTGCGCATGAGCCTGAGACTTTTCAGGGGATCGGAGGAGCTCTGAAAATTGAGCGTCGCCATTCAAGTCAGTGGGAAGAGGCGCTGATTTTTATTAGAGATATTACCCGAAATAGGACTTAAAAAGTTTGCAAATTCCAAAATATGACTTCCATGTTTTTATTTCCAAAATAGGACTAATTACTGTCATGTTTTGGCAGTACCAGACTTCAAACATGGCATTATTTTCCAAATTTGGCAGTAATTAGTCCTATTTTGGGAATAAAAACATGACATTCCTATTTTGGAATTTTCCAACTCTTTTAGTCCTATTTCGGGAACTTTCCCTTTTTATTAATTACGGCACCATTTTGGGATCGGCACACCGTGCGCACGCTATAATTTGCGTTCAACTCAAATTTTGTTTAATACGGAGTATCATACATGGCTTAGCTGATACGGTGACACTAGTGATTTTTTTACTGTCATTGACTCATTGCCAAATGCCAACTAGGAACTAATCTTCTACGGAGTATAAATTAACAAAGTTCATTTCAAGAAGTCAAACTGTCAAAGTAACATTTCTTGAAATCCGATGTGTACAAAGAATTATTATAAATTCATTACTAGAAAATCGGTGATATTAGAAAGGAATATATCTTACCTTCCAAAATAAAATTAAAATTGAAATCAATGCGGAATCATTTCACAAAACAGGTGTTGTGTCACATGTAGAGCACGTTTGGTAACACGAAAATCTGTTGATTTAGTTGATTCTGCTGAAATTTATGAAGTTCTGACTGAAGTAGCTGCATTGTCTGATTCTGCTGATTTAAGAAAAAAATATTTTTAAAATATATTTTATTAAAAAAATAAAGAAAAAATTATATATAAAAACAACTAAAATGATATCTACAGTAACTCTAACCAATACACCCAGAAAAACAGTTTCAACCTTACTTTTCTGCTTATTGCACAATTCAACGCATAAAAGCAAAAATTACGTGTTTGATGAAAAAGTTGGTTGATAAACCTGATAAGTCGAAAAACATGACCTCATAATATTTAGTATGACGTCATAATATAAGCAAGTGCCCTTGGTTACATTAAGCATTGAGTTCTTATTGCTACTGCTTTTGATTGACTCGATAACGACGGTAGTCACCTTTTTTTGACTTAAGGAGAGAATTTACTTTAAAGATTTTTTTTTTAATATGAGCAAGTGCCCTTGGGCCTTGGTTACATCAAGGACTGAGTTCTTATTTCTACTGCTTTTGATTGACTCGATAACGACGGTAGTCACCTTTTGACTTAAGGAGAGAATTTACTTTAAAGATTTTTTTTTATCTAAACTGAATTTATTAAGAAATTATTGAAAAAGTGATTTGTTATAAAAATAGAAGAATAAGAAAATAATTTTAATTTAAAAGTAAGAATTGAAATATTTGGTAAAGAAGTTGGAATGTTTGATAAATTTACAAACACAGGTATGGATGGACTCGGTTCGGGCTGGGCCCAGGCCGGGCCTCCGGTCCTAGATTGGAGGGCCCGGAACCGGCCCGTGTAACCCCCGGGTCCGGGCCGGGCCTCGGGTATTTTTTTTGCCTTTTCCTAATTAACCCCCACCCCCCCTCACACCCAAACCACCTCAAACCACCTCAAATGGTCCAAAATACCCAGCATAATCCAAAAACTTAAAAAAAAATCAAAAAAAAAAATAAAATGGCCCGAACCGACCCGGCCGGTTCACGTTTTGAGGGGCCGGAACAGTGGCGGGCCGGGCCGGTTCCGGATCGGGCCACCCGGCCCGAGTCCATCCATAAACACAGGTAAAGAGCGGTGAAGAACATAAGGTACAATGAAGAACATAAGCTATGTTTAAAGCCTTATAACGCAAAACTTGGCATAAATTTATCCATATTCAGGGAATAAAAAAACATGATACTCCTATTTTGGAATTTCAATATGTTTTTACTCCTATTTAGGAAATTCTCTCTATTTGATATGCGAGAAATATCACTACTACATACTTCCTCCGTCCCAATTTACTCATTGAAAAAATCACACTTTTAGTCCCTCAAATAGTCACCACATTGAAATGTTAAACCCATGTTCCCGAGTTTGTAAATGTCACCCCTCAATTGTCTTACTTGTTATGAATGTGGCCCCTTGGGAAGTGAAATGTACAATATGGGTGAGGAGTACATTTCACCCCTCAAAGGACCACATGTATAGTAATTTGGACAATTGAGGGGTGACATTTACAATTTTCGAAATATGGGTCTGACATTTCAATATGGTGACTATTTCAGGGACTAAAAGTGCGATTTTGCCTTACTAATTTTACTTTCCTTTTTAGATAGTTCCAAAATAAGTGTCTCATTTATTTTTTTGAAAAAAAATATGTAGTCTATAAATAACATTTTAGTTTATTATACTCAAATTCCAATCATAACTTTTACTTCCTCAATCACTTTTTAATAATTATGCTAAGCTAAAGTAAGTCACACAAAATAAGATGGAGATAGTACTAAGTATTTGCCAACCAATTCAGTAAAACGTTTAACAACTCAACGTCTACGATATACTCGTAATGTTTACATAAATTGCCCTAAATAGGAGTAAAAACGTTTTGAAATTCCAAAATAGGAGTAACATGTTTTTTATTCCCTGAATAGGAGTAATCTGCCAAGTTTGGAAAAAAATGTCATGTTTAAAAGCCTTGTAATGCCAAACTTGGCAGAAATTTACTCATATTCAGGGAATAAAAAACATGATACTCCTATTTTGGAATTTTAAAACGTTTTTACTCCTATTTAGAGAATTCTCTCTGATGTTTAAATGTAAAAAGCTTCTAGCATCTTTAACATTTTCAAAAAAATAATACTCCGTACTCTTATACTCCCCTCCGTCCCCCAAACAAGTTCCCCATTACTTTTCACACATATTAAGGAAATAAAGTTACTTAGTGGTAAATTTTAGGGCTGGGACTTTGGAACCAAGAACCGGAGAACCGATCCGGACCAAACCGTTATGATTCGGTTCTGTTCCAAAATTTATTAGTTATTTGTTAATGGTTCGGTTCCTATTTTTATTAAGGGTTCGGTTCTCGGTTCCTGAAAAAATATATACATGAAACCGTTAAGGAACCGTATATATAATAATTACAATTATATATACTTCTTATTAGTATATATATTTTAATG